CAGACTTAAAAGTCTTCTCACAGCCACATTATTTTTGGAGATCATCTTTCCTGATACTGCAACTGGAAGGAATTGCTCCGTCTCCTAAAGCTCCGAAGACATCATTTTCCAAAGCCCAACTCAAATGTCACCTTCTTGGTGATGCATTCCCCCATCTTTTAGGCCAGGGCTATCAAATAGGCATCATGTTACTGGTCACCACACTGACTGATTGATTATGGCTTCCCGGGTATCTTCTTGAGGAAGGAGTGCAGCGATTAATTGGTGCTTTCTTGGCAGAGGAGTAGTGGAACCCTGAGATATTCACCCAGTCCTCTTTGGATGGGCATTTAGGTGGATCCCAGCCATTTGGAGCTAAAGTTGTATTTTGAGCTCACATGCAGGTAGAGAGGCAGGATTTCTGCCCAGCCATGATTTGTGAAATAAAAGGCGAGCGATTTAAAAAGTTTGATGGATGTTGCCAAATAGCCATGTTACTTGAACTTCTTGAAAATTCTACCTTCTCTCCAGCTCAAAAGGTGAATCCCAGATGATGGCGCATAGTCTTTGCACCTGATTAACTGATAAGTTGTGTCACAAGTTCAGAACCACAATTTCTACTGGCCTGGTGGTATCCTTGGGCCTTTTGGTGAATCAAGGCTTTCTTCCTGGTCCTCTGTCCCATGCTGGGCTGGGTTTGGGGCTGTGTCAACCTGGTCATTGTATCTCTACCTGGTATTTGCTTTTATTTGTCATTGTCATAGTATTGTCAAATGGCATCTCCTCCTTAACTACATGCAGATTGATTAATTTTCATGAAGTGTGACAACAGGGTAGAGGGAAGCCCATCAGACTCTGAAACTGATGATAACATGGCACACGTACCTGGTGGGGGTTTTGGATAGGCCATGGGAGCCTGCCTGGCATGTGCCAAGGCTCATTAGATAAGTGACTCCCAAATGTTAACTCTTGGAGCTGGTGGGCCTTCCCTGTCTTCTTCCCATGTCACTCTATCATAATTTACTAAATGTCGAAGATGTGAACTGGTTGGCTGTCCTTGTTCCTCCTTGAGATCCTAGCACTGTGACTGGAAGATGGTTAGCAATTTTGTGGTGCTCTTGCTTCGGGGGACACTAAGCGCTCCCCACAGCAGTTCTAGCTCCTTGGTGTGGCAGATCGTGGACTTTCTGCATTTGGCCCCCTGGAGACCTACTTGTCCGCCACTTCCTCCATGTCTCCTGTCATGGTCACCCATCACATAAAACCACATCTCATCCAATGGGCACTTACCCTGCCCTAGATATGCTGCCAAACCTGCCAAGTGCAGTATCTCCTGCCATCCCCACAGTGGCCTGGTGAGATGCATGTGCTTTTTAATGCCCATTTCATGGATGCACAGCCTGAGGCTCTCACTGGAACACACACACTGTTAGAAACTGATCAAGCCCAGGCCCATCTTGCATCAAGTCCTGATGCCTGAACCACCTCTGTCTGCCTCCTCCCTGCCAGCCTCTGGTGCCAGCATTTGTACCTGTAGTTTTCTCCACTGGTCATACCTTTCTCTTCCTTGTCTGCAGGGTGACCTCCCAGCACTCAGCATATTTATGGAGCAGAGAAGGCCTGTGGGGGCTGAGTTAGTGAGACCCCAAAAAGGAGAAGGGAGATTAGAGAGAAAGTCTAGGGCTACACCTTGAAGGAGTTCAGATTTTACTCTTAGAGCAGTAGAAGCGCTGAAGGTATCAAACAACAGACAGGTGACAGCATTAGATGTTACTTTGGGAAGATCGCTGTGCCTGCTTGGGGGAGAATGGATTGGAGGGTGGCTCTCTCTGTCCTATTTTCTGTGGCTGGTGAAAAATAAGAAGGGCAGATGAGAACCCATAAGTGCCCTCAAAGCCTAATAAAAATTCCAAGAGGCAGTGGTTGTGCAGCCTGCTTTTATTTTTATGATAACAGGAACTATTTGTGATCTCACATTCTCTCTTCTGAGGCTCTGAGTCTTGAATTTATTTCTAGTTATACTGGAGTTTGGAAATAGTTATTCGAGGAGCAGTAAGCTCGGTATCGTTTATGTAAGATGAAAGCTGTTTATACCAATGGCTGTAGGTAGGGATATGTAATATAAAAACTCAGAGTTTCAGAGATTAGCTTAGTAACAATGAATGTCATAGTTTTAATGGTTGCTGGAAATTATTATTATTATTTTAATCAAATTTTGTCTCTTAAGTTGCATCGGATTTTTCCTTTTCATTCCCTAGGGAAATGAAAGATTTGCCTGATGTGGTCAAGTTCTGCTCTTCTGGCTGCAAAAGAGAACCAGGGTTTTGACAGTTTATGGTAAACATCACTTGGAGCTGGGATGTTTCGTTAATGTCTGCATTTATAGAAAATTGCAGTAACACTCTGGCTCCCACTGCAAAACAAAACAGAAACAAAACACAAAACCCTGCTTTGCTTTGGAAATGACAGTAGCATTTATTTAAGGTTCACATTTTTTGGGGGCACATTGGCAGGTATTTAGCAGTAATATCAGCAACTGTGGATTTCCAGCTTGCTGCATGGTGAATGGATTCACAGCCCAGAGGAAGCTTGTGGAGGCTTTATGTGATTTCTGTGTGGAGGGGGCACATAGGCATTATTAGCAATACTGTATTTGTTTGTTAAAGGCCAAAAGATGATCGACTCAAGATTTTCATATCCAAAAGGAACAAGGCAACAAAGGAATATTAATTTTACATCTGTACAAAGAAAAAGCTGGCAAAAAGGCTCAGTGACTTATTCTCCCTTTGTTAATTGTATGGTTCTTTGCAGTATCTTTTGTGTCATTTTCACTTAGTATTTCACTCTGGTTTGAAAGTGTCTGTACCTCTGGGTCAGAGAGGGGTGTCTGTGGAGGGGAACTCACAGAGCCAGTTAATGGAAGCATGATATATTTCATGTTGATTGCACAATGGCTTCCTAGTAGTTCAGATGAAGAATTTTAATTCTTTATAAAGAGTCTAAGTGGCTTCTCTCACTGATGAATGGGAGCTGAAATAAAAGTAGAAAGAATGAGAAGGAAACATGCCTCCTTGGCTGTCATTCATATCTTGGTGCATTTTCTTATGTGATTTACCCTTATTACAACACCAAAAAAAGGAGGGCTTCCTTTTATTCCTCCTGAGATGAGACACACATTGGTTACCCCCTGTTTTTTCAGAAACCTTCTCCCTATATCCTTCCTTTATTCTGAGATTGTCTTCTATATCTCATGTAAAGTACTTATTGTAAATGGCCTGGTATTGTTTACACTCCGCATACAGTGTAGTTAGTGCTTAGGTGAGATCTTGGGCATTGAAGAGGTGATCTCTTGGGAAGGGCAGGGAGCCAGGGGACTAGATAAGGATCTGCCTGACCTAGCATTCTGGGGACTTCTCTTAAAGACGCTTGCACGATTCTTCCTTCAGC